GACTTTTGTAAGGAAGAATGGGCAAAGATACCTCAAACAAGAATTGAAAGACTCTTGGCTGGCTACAAAAAGCGTTTACAAGCTGTGATACTTGCCAAAGGGGGCAGTACAAGATATTAACTCTGCAGGGTGCCCAAACTTTTGCAGACGCCATTTTTTTGTTTTCTGTTATTTTGAAAGTGTAAATGATGGAAATAAAATCTAACTTGTTGACATATTATAGGAATGTCTAATCTGTAATTTGATGCCTTTTGGAGATTTTTCCATCTTTCCTTGGCTTCTTTATGCACATTATTACAAATTTTTAGCTGGGGTGCCCAAACTTTCGATCCCCACTGTATGTGTATGTGTGTATATATATATGTGTGTGTGTGTGTGTGTGTGTATATATATATATATATATATATATATATATATATATATATATATATATATATATATATATATATATATATATAATTTTTTTTTTTTTTTGGGACATTGTTGAAAATGTCCATTGCCTGAGACCTTACACTGTCTAAAAAAACGGAAGCTACTATCTTTAGTAAGGGAGTGACCTGAATATTGATTCTTGCCAGCAGCAGCCAATAGGTTTTGTAATGTGGAATGACCTAAAGGGGGGAGAGAGAGAAAGGTGGTTGGGGGCTTCTTACCATGACGAGAGATCCCAAATGGTTGTAGCCGCAAAAGGCAAGAAATGATGGCAAATGAAGAGGAATCATGAAAAAATATTGAAAGGTGTTTGAACAGATCATATGAAGGTATTAACTTCCAATACTTCATTTAGACCAGTGGTTCTTAACCTGGGTTCGATCGAACCCCAGGGGTTCGGTGAGTTAGTCTCGCGGGTTCGGTGAAAGTGAAGACCCACACCCGACTCATATGATTCGTGCAGTAAATATTCATTATTATGTTTTTGTTTTTGTGTGAAAATCATGTTTTAATGGTTTTGTTCTTTGTTCTTAACGGTTTTGTTCATTTTGTGCACCTATGTATAAATATATTCCTAAATATATACCTATGTTTTGAATTTTAAAAATCATATTTTATTTTTCCAATTAAGAAGGGTTCGGTGAATGCGCATATGAAACTGGTGGGGTTCAGTACCTCCAACAAGGTTAAGAACCACTGATTTAGACCATTGGGTGTAAGACTGCCTAGTTTGAATATCCATAGGTTTCTTGGACGCATCATTTTTTGAACCTCTTGCCTTCTTTCAGAGCCGCTGGTATAGATTGAATGCCTATGACTCCAAGTTTGGAGGAGTTACTATTGTGATGTTATATGAAATGTCTAGCAATGCTGGACTGGGGGGCATCATCTTCTACAATTTGCCTGTGTTCTCCAAACCTAGTTCGCAAGGGCCTTATGGTACAACCCACGTAACATAGTTTACAGGGACAGGTGATGAGATATATCACCTGTTAAAAATTCCTCTATGCCTTAAGACCGGCCATTCCTATCAGTAATTAGTTTTTGTCCATGTTGAATATGAACACAAGTCATAATTTCTTCTTTCGGCACTGGAACATCCCTCTAAGTGTTAGGAAGGTGGGGATTTCAATCTGAGACTGAGGGTCTTTATCCTTCGCTTTACTAATATTTGAAAATCACCTGAGGAATATCCTCCTCTTTTCTCGAGAAACCTGTTTTTTAGAATGACACCTTGAGCTTGATAGTCAGCTAGAGTGCTGCAGTTGCATCTGAGCCGACAAAACTGACTGAAAGGAATATTGGAAATCCACTTCTGATGATGTAACAATGGTAAATTTGATTCCAAAAGTGGTTGCAAAAACCCTTTACATAAACCCAGTAAAGTGACTGGCCTTAGTTGATGCACACAGATGAAACAGATCCTCCTGCATCAGTTGTACCTTTTTATCTGTAGTGTTCTCTTCTCTTTATATGTGTCCAAAGTTCAGAATTTCTAAAGCTTGTCTGAACTTTGAGAAAACTTGGGACTGGGAGCTGAAATTATGCCCAGTGAGGACGGCTCTGAGCCCTGATTGCAGGGAAGGGACACTCCCACTTAGCACAGCACACAGGAACAGATCTGAGGATGTCCGTCACAGGCTGTGTGTTGGAAATCCCCTCCCCTGTTCTGTTTTTTTTTTTCTTTTTGTGTCAGGAAAACTTGTCAGAAGTGATTCATGCTGATAGCAGAGGAACAAAACAGCAGGCAGAAATGACACTAAATCTTAGTTCACACTATTTTTGAAAGCAGGCATTTGAGGGACGTTTTTAACACTCTTCAAATGCCTTTGGAAATAATTCTATGGTGAGTACACAGTGCTGTTCACATTTAGCATAGCATGAAGCGTTCGTGTCGCTTCAAAATTGAAGCCTCATGTTAAGTCAGGAGGAGTTGAAGCCTTTCAACGCCTTCCATTCAAGTCTGGTGATGCTCCTCAAACACCTGGCAGGCGTTTGCAGAGGGTTAATAGCATTAGAGTTTACTATAGATGTGTGTATTGCGGTTTTAACGCTTGTAAAACGCCTCAAAGCCTCGCATAGGGCGTTCGGGGAGCATTTTTAACGCTTATAGAACGCCCATGCTAAAGCTCAGCTCATTAACGCCTGTCTAACGCTACGGGGCATTTTTGAAGAGTTAGAAATTTAGTCAAGTGTGAACAAGCCCTAAGTGTTCTTAATTGAAACAAGTACACACTATACTGTAGAGGGATATACTTCGTTCATATTTCATGTCTGAAGTTTACAAGCACTTTAAAGTAGAATTCCGAGCTAACACGATTTAATCTTAAAATTACTCCCAGCCCCCTTTTTAACGCCTATACTAATTAACCTGTAGAAGAAAGATGCATATACAGTGAGGAACAGAAGTATTTGAACACCCTGCGATTTTGCAAGTTCTCCCACTTAGAAATCATGGAGGGGTCTGAAATTCACATTGTAGCTGCATTCCCACTCTGAGAGACAGAATTTAAAAAAAAATTCAGGAAATCACATTGTATGATTTTTAAAGAATTTATTTGTCTTGCACTGCTGAACATAAGTATTTGAACACCTAAGAAACTGCAAGATTTCTGGCTCTCAAAGACCTGTTACTGTGCCTTTTAAAAAGTCCACCTCTACTCCACTCCTTAATCTAACTTAGTAGCACCTGTCTGAGCTCTTTAAAGACACCTGTCCACCCCACAGTCAGTCAGATGCCAACTACTACCATGTGCAAGACCAAATAGCTGTCAAAAGACACCAGAGACAAAATTGTGGACCTCCACAAGGCTGGGAAGGGCTACGGGGCAATTGCCAAGCAGCTTGGTGAAAGTAGATCAACTGTTGGAGCAATTGTTAGAAAATGGAAGAGGCTAAAGACGACTGTCAGTATCCCTCGGACTGGGGCTCCATGCAAGATCTCACCTCGTGGGGTATCACTGATGATAAGAAAGGTGAGGAATCAGCCCAGAACTACAAGGGAGGAGCTGGTCAATGACATGAAGAAAGCTGGGACCACAGTTTCAAAGGTCACTGTCAGTAGAACACTACGCCGTCATGGTTTCAAATCATGCATTGCATGAAAGATTCCCCTGCTAAAGTCATCACATGTCCAGGCCCGTCCGAAGTTTGCCAATGACCATCTGGATGATCCAGAGGAGGCATGGGAGAAAGTCATGTGGTCAGATGAGACCAAAGTAGAACTTTTTGGTCTAAACTTCACTCGTCGTGTTTGGAGGAAAAAGGATTAGTTGCATCCCAAGAACACCATCCCTACTGTGAAGCATGGGGGTGGTAACATCATGCTTTGGGGGTGCTTTTCTGCGAAGGGGACAGGACGAGTGCACTGTATTAAGGAGAAGATGAATGGGGCCATTTATTGTGAGATTTTGAGCAAGAACCTCCTTCCCTTAGTCAGAGCATTGAAGATGGGTCGTGGCTGGGTCTTCCAACATGACAACGACCATGCTTTGGGGGTGCTTTTCTGCAAAGGGGACAGGACGAGTGCACTGTATTAAGGAGAGGATGAATGGGGCCATTTATTGTGAGATTTTGAGCAACAACCTCCTTCCCTCAGTCAGAGCATTGAAGATGGGTCGGGGCTGGGTCTTCCAACATGACAACGACCCTAAGCACACAGCCAGGATAACTAAGGAGTAGCTCCGTAAGAAGCAAATCAAGGTTCGGGAGTGGCCTAGCCAGTCTCCAGACCTAAATCCAACAGAACATCTTTGGAGGGAGCTGAAACTCCATGTTGCCCAGCTACAACCCCCGAAACCTGACTGACAATCTAGAGGAGATCTGTGTGGAGGAGTGGGCCAAAATCCCTGTTGCAGTGTGTGCAAACCTGGTCAAGAACTACAGGAAACATTTGACCTCTGTAATTGCAAACAAAGGCTTCTGTACCAAATATTAACACTGATTTTCTCAGGTGTTCAAATACTTATGTTCAGCAGTGCAAGACAAATAAATTCTTTAAAAATCATACAATGTGATTTCCTGAATTTTTTTTTTTAAATTCTGTCTCTCAGACTGGGAATGCACCTACAATGTAAATTTCAGACCCCTCCATGATTTCTAAGTGGGAGAACTTTCAAAATCGCAGGGTGTTCATATACTTCTGTTCCTCACTGTACTTATTTTCAGGGCTTTCCAGTTTGGTCATGTAATCTCCCTTGTGTCAGCCAGCACCAGCTACAGGGGAGAGGACAGAGCACTCCCAACAACTGGAATGCTTGAGTGATGAGGTCACCCATGGGCTAACTATGGGTCATCCATTGTCCTCTCTATCTCCTCTCTTCTGAAGCCGCTGCTAGCTGACAGAGTGGTGACTGGACCAGAGCGGCATAAAAAGAGGTAAGAATATCCATCTTTCTTCTCCAGGTTAACTAGTATAGGGTAGAAGGGGGTGGGAGCAGTTTTACATTTAGTGATAGCCCATAAATCTACTTTATTTAGTTAAGTGAGATGCAAACAGATTTTTTTGGTTTGTACAAGTATGTGCAGGAGTGAAATTGCTGACTGTTTTTATTTATTATCTCTGATAGGAGATAAGTCCATATCACCTGAATTCCTGAAGAGTGGAGACAGTCAAAGCCATGAATTTCGCTCCATCCTCAGCTTTGGGGTACAATCACCGTGAGTATTCTAGTAATTAAGCCAGTAGAGGCATTTCTTTGCTGTGTGGCTGCTGACTCCCAACTCAGCAGCGGTAAAGATGCTCACAATTTTAGCTTTATGATTAGGGTTTCAGGTTATTTCTCTTGTTTAAAATGACCAAACCAGTAGGCTTTTATAGTGCAACCATACTTCTTCAATGCTGAAAGTCAGTCTCCCTCTGAGACTAATCTAAATTATGGCAAGTCATCCAGGTCCTAAATCTCTAAATTGCTAGCAATGCACACAATACAGTATTTTGGGGTAATGCATATTTATTTACTACAGGTTACTGTAAAGCCAGCCAATTCTACGCAGGCAGATCACTTCAGAGGCCAATATATGAAGAGAATGCAAACAGGGAAATGTTTTGTTGTAACCAAAGTTTTTTAGATTAAGATTTTGAATGTAGAAATGACAATTGGAAGCCGACTGGGTAACATGGATAACAAGATAATGTATTTAAAGTTTATATTTCATACATCAGCCTTTAATGTATTTAGGCCTTCTTCCAGCTTGTGTGTCAGAGTAAACTTCATGGATAATTCATGGAGCGGTCTTCTGTGAGAAATAGAGGACTTAATATGGAAATGCTTAGTGTCGTAACATAACCTTAATACATCTGTATTACTTTTGTGCCTCTGCCAAATACGTTAGGTTGATTTCTCTTTTAGGAACCAAAGAACTTACCTTTCCTTGTTTGATATCTATGACATTTTAGATTTACCATGAATTATTTGTGTTCTCATGATGTTTAAAAGGTTATCTCTGGGTAGCCATATTGGCCATTTATAAAACGTGCTATGCATTTTATCTTTAATGGTCAAAAGAAACCAGTAATTAGTGTAATTTTTTTAAAAATTAGGCCAAATTTTTCTGCCAGCACAAAAGAAATGCTAGTCCACTTTGCCACCACCGTGTACCGAGTAGGCCTGAATGTTCCACCGAATGAAACTGACCCACGCTTACCTATGATGACATGGAATACGTGTGCATATACAATTCAGTGCCTTGGTAAGGATGATTTTCAAATATCTGTAAACAGATATGTGTACAGTTTGAGAAGTCACAGTGTATGTCTAATGGATCTTATTTCATTTCAGAAAATTTAGTACAGGATGAAGAAAAGCCTTTGTTTGGATCTTTGCAGAATCGTCAGGTAAGGAAGACAGGGGACAGGGTCAAGTGAGTGACTATTAGACTGCACATTTTCAATGCTATCTGACTCTTAAGAGTATTATCTTGACCTTGGCTTAGGCTGTGCTGCTTTATAATATTAACTTTTATAACTAGAGCAGCTGGTGATAGCTGTAGATTAACTTTCGTATATAGTTACATAGTTAGTCCGACTGAAAAAAAGACAAAAATCCATCCAGTTCAACCATTAAAAAAACAAAAAAACAAAAACAGTATATGATGATCTCTACTGTATTAACCACAATCTACGGATGATATTGTTTACTATTCTACCTACTATATCAGGTATGGGCTTTGTCTAGTGTATTTCAGCATTGCTGAGCCGATCCATGTTGTTTTCCAGGTTTAGCTTGGTTTACAATATAGAGTTTTAAAAAGATTGTGAATTTTTTTTATATTTTTTTGAAAACCATTTCTTTTATCTGAGGCTTATTTAATTTTTAATGATAAATTAAACCGTGTTATTAGACAAACACACACAATAATATATAATACTATATTTATTGAAGATGTTGGTAAAAACGAAGGTCACTGATAAAAACAGCATTTTCATTTTTATAGGATTAATACATCTATAAAACAGAGTTTTTTGGCATATATATATAGAGCAACTATGGCGCAAAACCAGATCCCAGCTAGAATTCACCCGCTATAAATCTGCCTTCCACACCTACACCTCCTCCCTCCACGCTGCCAGACAAGCCTACTTCCTGACCCTCATCAAGACCCTCCTCCGATCCTCACTGGCTCTTCTCCACCTTCAACTTTCTACTCTCTCCGCCCCCACCTCCACCCAGCACCTCACTCACCGCCCTTTAGATTGCCAATCACTTCAAAAACAAGATTGACGCAATTTGCAAGGACATCGCCGCTGCTCAAACTTCCTCCCCACCCATTCCCCCTTACACAGCAACCCCCTCATCACCCCCTCACACCCTCGGCCTCACCAATGTTCAGACCTCCACCTCATCTAACATTCCTCACACTGAAGCCCCCTCAACACTCCACTCCTTCGACCTTACTACCATTGAGGAGGTCACCAAGGTTTTCTCTGAAGCCCGTCCCTCCACCTCACAACTCCTACGACCTCCCTCCTCCATCCTACGCTCCCTCACCCACATCTTTAATCTCTCCCTCTCTTCTGGCGCATTCCCCTCCCTCTGAAGCACGCGCACATCACTCCCATACTTAAAAAGCCCTCCCTGGACCCCACTGACCCGAACAACCTTAGACCCATCTCCCTGCTGCCATTCACATCCAAACTCCTCAAGCGCTTAGTCTACAATCGCCTAAGCTTCCACCTCACCGACAACAACCTCCTCAATCCCCTACAGTCCGGCTTCCATCCCCTACACTCCACCGAAACTGCCTTACTCAAACTCTCCAACGACCTGCTAACCGCCAAATCTAATGGCCACTACTCAGTGCTCCTACTCCTCGACCTCTCCGCGGCTTTTGACACAGTTGACCACTCCCTCCTCCTCAAAAAAACTACACTCCCTTGGCCTCAGAGATTCCGCTCTATCCTGGCTCTCGTCCTACCTATCACAACGCTCCTTCAGCGTTACCTATAACACTACCACCTCCCCCTCACTCCCCCTCTATGTTGGGGTCCCTCAAGGCTGTCCTCGGGCCCCTTCTTTTCTCCATCTACACCTCCTCCCTTGGCCAACTCATACACTCTCACGGCTTCAACTACCACCTCTATGCCGACGACACGCAAATCTATCTCTCGACCCCTCGCCTCACCCCCTCAGTCTCCGCCTGAATCACAAGCCTACTGAACGACATATCAAATTGGATGTCGCTCCACTTCCTTAAACTGAACCTCTCCAAAACCGAGCTCCTAGTCTTCCCCCCCCAGCCCGAACACCACCCCCCACTGACTTCTCCATCACGTCCAACAATGCCACCATCACGCATGCGCAGAACGCCAATGCACATTAGCCGGCGGGCACTAGGACATAGGCAACAGCAGCGGCCACGCATGCGCACTCGCGGACGCGCGCCTGGCACCAATGACAGTGCAGGCGCACTATTTAAACCGGCCCTTTGTATGCTCAAATTGCCGTATGGTCTTGTTCCTGTTGATTCCTGCTCGTTCTGTTCCTGTGATTGCCTTGTTGCCGACCCAGCCTGACTCTGATTCTGTTGACTGTCTCCTGCTCTGACCCTTGGCTCGTTTGACTATTCTCTGCCTGATCCTGTCTCTCTGACCTCCCGTTGCTGAACCTGGCCTGTGACCCGATTACTCTTAGCCTGCTGCCCTGTACTGTCTGCCTCCGCTGTTACCAACCTGGCCTGTCTGACTTCGCTGTTCCTGCTCGGATCCATCCACCCTGCTCGGATCCATCTGCTACTTCCTAGGTCTGCTCCGCCTCTTCACAACAGGCTCATACCCGCTACGTACCACTGGCAATTATCTCTACCACAGCTGGGTGGTACTCGGGGGCCGCGACCTGGTCTCAGTCTGCTCCAAGTCCATCCCCACCATCAGGGGCTCTGGTGAATAAGCAGTCTGGGGCTTAGACTCCGCGGCCTGGGGAATCTCGGTCTGTGGGTCTCTAAAGCCCTCGCCAGCTGGTACCTGACACTTGGGGGTTTATTTACTAAAGCTGGAGAGTGCAAAATCAGACTCCCTTCTGCATAGAAACCAGTCAGCTTCTAACCTCAGCTTGTTCAATGAAGCTTTGGCAATGAAACCTGGAAGCTGATTGGTTTCTATGCAGAAGTGAGTCTGATTTTGCACTCTCCAGCTTTAGTAAATAAACCCCTTAGTGTCATTCTTGACTCCAATCTATCCAGCCCCAAGTCCAATCACTAACAAACTCATGCAGAGTCCACCTCCGCCACATCGCCAAAATACAAACGTTCCTAACCCCAGAAACCACTAAGCAGCTCATCCACTCCCTCATCCTATCACGACTCGATTACTGCAACTCCATCCTCACTGGCCTGCTTCGCCACAGGCTATCCCCGCTTCAGTCGATCCTGAATACGGCAGCCAGACTCATCCACCTTACCAACTGCTCTGTTTCCGCCACCCCCCTCTGCCAATCCCTCCACTGGCTTCCGATTGCCCAACGGATCAAATTCAAAATACTAACACTGATGTACAAAGCTGTCCACCATACTGCCCCGAACTACATCACTGACCTAATATCCAAGTACTACCCTACACACACTCTCCGCTCCTCACAAGACCTCCTTCTCTCTAGTTCCCTAGTCTCCTCCTCCCATGCCCGCCTCCAGGACTTCTCCAGGGCATCACCCATACTCTGGAACTCCCTACCCCAATCCATCAGACTATCACCTACTCTTCTCTCCTTTAGGCGCACCCTGAGAGCCCACCTCTTCAGGGAAGCCTACCCCACCCCCTGCTAATTCCCAACCTCCTCCACTCTTCCTACCACTCCATCCCCCACAGCTATTTCCTCCTGTACCACTATCCCCTCCCTCCTAGATTGTAAGCTCCAAGGAGCAGGGCCCTCGAACCCCTCGTGTATTGCATAGTATTGTTATTGTAATGTCGCATGTTCTGTCTCCCATTGTAATGTACAGCGCTGAGCGAACTGTTGGCGCTTTATAAATACTGTATAATAAAATAAATATATATATATATATATATATATATATATTTATTTATTTTTTTTTTTTTTTTTTTTTTTTTTTTTTTTTTTTTTTATGCTCCACTCTTCATTGTGGAACTCTGGTGATGTGCAGTATGTTCTGATAACACTTAACTTGAGAAGAGCCAAGATTGCTGATGTTTTTTAGACAGAAGGACCACAAACCTATTTTTAATAACGTTTGCTTGCAGCATTCCTTAGGTAGTTACAAATGGAGGAAATTTAGCAAAACTCTCCCAAGTGGGTTCCAACAAAGATAAGTGCAAGGGTTACAGGTTGCAAGTGTCAATCCACTGCCTTCTAGACAAATTGCTCCCTTTATCAATCTATGCAGCTATGTGTTAAACAGCACTTTTGATTAATGATTCAGTGGGCTGCACTTTTGTATCCCAAAAATGCTTTCTGGTCCTTTTTATGTTAGAGGCATTTCCAGTGATCAAGTGGTGGGAGAAGGATTTGCCAAGGTAGTCTTTTTAGAAACGATCCTAATTTTCAGAGCTTTAGCTGCATGCAGTTTTCAGTGAGGATAAATCTCAGCTTATTTTTTGTTATATGATCAGATTGAATTCCTCAGGTTTATGACAAGTTTTCAATAATTCATATGTGGACTGCGGTTATGGTCTATTCCAGCAGTCTGTAAATCAGGCCAGGACGACACACAATGTCTTCTCCATTGACACATGATGGCTTGGCTGTAGTTGAGAAATCAAGGATGTCCGTTACAAAGCCTGGCCCACCCACCTTTTAATATCAGTAATAGCTGTGCTGAGGAAGCACATGCATATGGGTTGATCTTGAGATCTGAAGGTGCAGGTATCGGAGCTGATACATAGTCTGAAAGTGCGGGAATTGGGGCTGCTCTAAGGTCTGAAGTATGTCTGTTGGGATAATCTGCATCATGAGAGTGTAGTAAGAGGAGTTCTATGAACGTGTGCAGGCAAGAGGGGAGAGGCAAGTGGTACAACTCCCCTGATTAGAAGCCACTGCTGTTAACCTTCACAAGACCAGAAGACAGCCATTTAAGCCAGTATTCAGTGTATGTGAAGGAGACACACCATAGAAGATTTTGAGATGGGATACACACCATTACACATACCTAAATCCCATTACACATACCGAATGTGGATGATGATGATGTATTGAAATAAACTTGCAGCCTGCATCGAGTCCATCCCCAAGCGCAGGAGCGTTTTGTGTTTGCTGGTTCAATGTGAAAGAGATCCCTGTCTCCTATCTATTCATAGAAAAAGCACATTCACTCAGCGCTACCTTTGCTATCATTAGAAGGTAATCCTATCAGATCAGATTGGATCACGTATAAGGGATGGGTTTA